TCGAAAACAAGACCCATATAAACGCCCCGGAGACCCTCGGGTCCCGCCCCTGTTGTGATGCCGTTCGAGTGTAGTGTAAGGAAAGAAGGTTGGCTCAAGGTATGATGTGGTGGAAAGGAAAGGATGGCGGGGAGCCGCCTAGAGGCACAGGCGCTCTAACCTGGCCAGCACAGGCTCGAGGCCGGCGCTGATGCGCTGAACCCTGACAATGGCGACCAGGGACGTCTCCTCCTCTTCGGTAGCGTCCACCAGCTCATAGCGCGCCAGGACCTTCTCTGACTCGATACCGCCAAAAAGGTCAATGTGTGACAGACCATCCGTGTCGAGCTCGACAGGGGCAGTTGCAGATGAAGCGGGCGTCGTGTGGTAGAGAGCGAATTCAGGATCATTCTCGAAATCATCATCATACGACTGCTCGGGCTCGGGGGTCTTCTCAAGCACGGCCGGGGCGGCATTCATCTTGGGCGATTCGATCATGGGAAGCTCAACCTTGTCATCGTCCGACTCAAAGGCCTCGCCCACAAAATTGGACGTCTTGCCAGAGAGAATCTCAGCGTCAATGGTGGCGGGCATCTCTGGGGTCTCAAGTACGGCATAGACTTGGGGCTGGAAGTTGAACGAGTCGTTGTTCAGGTTGAGCATGGAGAGATCCATGTTCTGCTCCGGGATCATGGCCATGCCAATCTGTTGCTGCTGAGACTGCTGAGCGGCGTAGGGGTTGGAATCCTTGTGGGCCTGCGCCTTCTCCGACTGACGCTGCTCAGGCTTGACGGGCACCTGCACGGGCTGCTGCGGGATGGCCTGGGGGTTGTTGCTGAGATGGTCAAGGAAGGTAGAGAAGGACGGCGAGGTCAGGAGCATGCGGGTAAGATCCGACAGGCGCTTGTTCTCCTCCATGAGAGCATGGTTCTGCAGGCGCAGGTCGCCGTTCTCGGTGACCTTGTTGGCAATCTCGGCCTCGAGCTGCGTGATGTATTCTGTGCGTACTAGGTTAGCTGCATGACTTTGGGTTTGTGGTGTTGGAAACTGTGTGACTTACCCTTTCTCCTGGAGCGGAAAGCGCGGGCAGAGACCTTGTTACGCAGCTGGCGGCGCTCCTTGCTGCTGAGCTTCTTGCCCTCCTCACTAGCGAGCAACCTTTCGTCTTCGTCCATGTCGTCCTCATCCTTCTTGGGACGGGAAATGTTGAGCATGGGCATGCTGCCGTCATCTTCCGAAGCCGACTTGTTGCGCATGGAGTTGAGGAGCTGCGTAATCTTCTGCTCGACAATGGGGTCGGTCGGCTGAGCGCTCTTGGTTCGGGGCCTCGTCTGCTGGGGCTGCGACTGCTGCCTTTGCTGCTGCTGAGACTGAATCATCTGCTGCTGAGCACGCTGCTGAGCTTGGGCCTTGGCCAGAGCGGCAGCCTGCGTGTGCATGCCGGGCCAGAGGCGACCGACGTTGCCAGGCTGCGAGGGCAGGACGGGAGACTCCTGTCCACCGATGGCATTCGGGTTGATGGTCGACTCGGTGCCAGGGAAGAAGTACTGAGACTCGGGGGGGGAGTCAAAGTCCATGTCGATGTCGAGGCTGCCGGAGCCCTGCGAGTGGGAGTGGGCTGAGGGGGCGGCGTTGAAGTCGAACATGTCGTCGGCAGGGCTGACGTTGTTCAGAAACTCCATGCCGTAGCCGCTGTTGTAGCCGGAAATGTGCGAGTTGGCCTGGTTGACGGCGAGCGTGCTGGCCAGAGCGCCGGGCACGATGCCGGTTTGCTGCTTGTAGAGCTCGTATTGATGGCTCGGTCCGCTCAGAGACGGTTGCGCCGTCGAGGGCACGGTCGGGGTCTGGATGGAGCTGACAGATGGCCTGCTCGGGAAAGAGTTCTTGCTGGCCGAGGGAGAGAGCGACGGCGAGGCATAGGCAGGCATTGTGTCATACTCGCTCAGGTCGATGAGACTGTCGAAGTTGTCGACATTCTGGGGCTGATTTGTCGTCATGGCGACTATATGTGTCGGAAAAGGCTTTCGGTCGGCCGGCGAAAGTGGGAGTGCCTTTTTGTCCAGGTAGATTGGCGTGTGTTGGGGGTCAGGAGAGTGTACACCTAGACCGCAGGGCAAGCGCTTGGGAGGGGCTCGATTGCGGTTGATTGTCTGCTGGATTCGATGCTCTGTTGGAGGACTTGAATCGTGGTTCGTAGCGACGGCGATTGTGGTGCTGGCAGTGGTAGGCAAAAGTGAACGACGTTGGATACAGTAGACGGTGGTGGTGGTGGATGAGGATGACTGAGGAAAGATCGGGGGTTGTTTCTTGGGGGGTGGGCAGGAGGCAGCCTGACAAAGTACAAGTGCTGGGCGGGGGACCTTTTTCTTGGGACTTGGAAAGGAAAAGTACTTGAGACGGACGGGTTGGTGGGCGGGAACAAGCAAAGCGATTGATTACTGCCTACAGCCTGTGCATGGGCCCGGGCCAATTCCAAAACTGGGAATGGGGCATCAACTTGGACCCAAAGGGGGGGGGGGCTGAGAGCGCAGTTGCTGGCGGGCGGTGGGGGAGGGAGAGGGAAGGGGGACGCGTCAGCTCATGGAGGCCGACGCCCAATCGGGCCTAGCACAAACAACGAGGCCGACCCCGCCAGACGAAGGCCCGAGCCAATGAGATATCCATACGGGCTGCGTCTCGTTCTTCGGAAGTATCCGTTGGCTGTCATTGCTGGGATCTCGCACTCTCGCACCGCGAAACTGCCCCCTCTTCGCATTGTCATTGTGATACGAAGTACCTACCTACCTCCTGAAGCACCGCCTTAGGTAAGCCAGGGGAAGAGCGCCGTACTTTGCCTCCAACAACAGAACAGGCCACCAGACCAGACTGCACGAAGCGCTGTGAGCAATTACTGTATTACACACCCTCCTTTGATGCACTGTAGGCAACGGCCATGATCATGACCGATCGTACAGTGTATCGGCAGATGGAGGGAGTTGAGAAGCCTGGGTGCATAGTCGCGCTTCGCCTCATTCGACTGGCCAACTCTATTAGAGCACATCACATCAGCTCAGAGACATTTGACGATCGATTCAATTGCCATGCGAAAGGAATAGCCAACTTTCCTTAAACTGCTGCCTGATCCCACATTACACCGACTTCGGCCTCGACGCGAAAGGGAAACTCGCCGTTAAGCCCGAACCGCCCGTGGCCCATGGACGTTGTAGCGACCGCTAGCACTGCCCCCAAACTCGCCCTCGTATGAGCCAGTAGGGAAGAACAGTAATCACAACACACACACACACTGCCTTCACCAGCACGCAGCATGCAAAGCCTACGCGGCCGCCCCCCTCCCGCACTAGAATCCTCGTCCACACTTCCGGGCGCATTTTACCTCCGTCTCACGATCGCTGCTCATCTCGAAAACGGCCAGCCTGATGCACTGCCTACTTTGAGCGATGGTGAGGAGAGGGGAGGACATGAGGGCTGTTTGCCCGCTCCTTCAAGGGTCTTTGACATTGCCAATCTCGCGGGGAAGCCGTCTCATGAGCATGGTTCCATGGGTAAGGCGTGACCCTCGAAATTGACAGCTGTCCGACTTACACCCATCCTTAATTCCGAATTTTGAGGCGCTCCCACCCATCCACCGGGAACGACTATGTTCCCTTGGGACGAGGGTTCCCCTTCGAGGGTCCCCGAAGAAGCACGGTGCCTTACCTACCTACCTTATGAACATGCGAACGGGCGAGTCAGCTTCGGGGGGGGGCCTAATGTCCTGAGCACTGCACACTGCAAAGCACGGGACGGCGGAGTGCCCGCACTGCCACCGCCGCCCATCACCCACCCTCCCACCACCCGACCCGAGACTCAATACTCTCGGTAGTCAGCGCCGCAAGCACCACACGGATCCTCTCGTAGTCGCGACCACGATTGCGCCAAGGTCCATTGGGCAGAGAGACCTTGCCAATGCTCCTTGTCTGTCTGCTCAATGCTTCTGTCGCACCTCCACCAGGATCTGGGCTCTCACAATCTCTGTTGAAGAGACGGGTCGGTAGGGCACGCTTTTTGCTGGACAACGAGTCAAACCTAGTGTTGAATCATCATTCGTCCACGATGGAAGCAACCGTCAAGGACTGAAACCTTTGGCTCCGTCGCCCACATTCCGTCGCCACTGCCACCGTCTTCGCATCTGCCCCGTTTTGCGGAGAAGGGGCCGGGCGGCGGTGTTGAAAGGGAAAAGACAAAAGCTGTCAACCCCGAGCGGCAGTTAGACACGGGCCGTTTTCTCACAAGCTCGACTCCCGAGCTTTTTCCTGCTCGTGGTACACTTTGGTACGCTTGCGAGTCCGCAAGAGTCTAGACGCTGGCCTTAGACCGCCCCCCAAGGCTGATCAACGGTGATGCCTCAGGGGCGATGACGTCGATCGTCTGAAAATAGCAACTGCCGGTACGTTTCATCTAGTGCGCACCACCCACGAGGACGCACCAGTCTACATGCCCTGATCGACAACTTTGCCTTGCGGGCATGGCTGTGTTGCTTGGTGCTCGATATGAATTCAGCAGAGCTGAGCATGGGAAAGCAGAAAATGGAGGACGAGAAGGGAAAAAAATCTTTCGCGTTAGCCCCACGCCTTTCATTCTGCCCGTGGCACAGTTGTTCTCTCGTATTGATCATGTTGGGGAGGGTCAGGCAAGTTCCCCTTTGACAATGACCCGTTTGCTCACTCAGCGCACTCCTCGTGTCGCGCCGGCATAAGGTATTATTCCCGCCTAAAAGCCCTGCACTCGAATCTCTGGCACGAACAACAGTGCCTATGGCAGCCCTGCATCAGGCCGACGAGGAATGTTGGTGGGATTCCCGTGCCGGTCATCCTTGAGAGGGCCGCACACCAGACCAGCCGTCGGATTCTCAGCACCGGCGTCGCGGGTATCAGGTCGGGGTTCGGGTGCCCGTCTTGCCCGTTCAGTGCGAAGCTTCCCAAGTCTCCAAGCCGCTAGGCATCTGGGTGTCTCCATGGCGGGGATCCTCAAAACAGGTTTCGCCGCTGTCAGTTTGGTCGGGACCTCGGCGTTCAGCCACATCATGTGCCACAGTTGCATCACCAGCCACATGAACCGATGACACTTGTGGCAGTGCTGTCCTTGGCCGCCACTTTTCGTTGCAATATGACCTAAAGATCAACAAGGACGTGATGTGTCTGTCTCTGCACGTCAATGACCTGCCAATCA